GTGATACAATAAAACAAGACTCTTGCTGCAAAAAGCATACGGTTTATATTTGGATAAGGATATCTTGCACAAGTATATTACTATGACAAAAACTTGTCTTCCAAATTCTACAAAGTTATTCAGAATTCGATAAGAAGAAAGGTACAACTCTTTATAAAGATAACCATAAATCATTGACCTATGTTGAACATATACCTCAAACTGATTTGTTTCTATGAATTAAGAAGCTTAAAGAGAAAAGGTAAACTCATAATTAGGAAAATAATTATCAAGTTTATCATACAGCTTACTGTTTAACCACATTTGGTTCTCTGCAAATAAGTATACTCCTTATTTCCAAAGAGGGTTATATCAGATAATGCATTATATGTCTCTGGTTGTATTGATTAAATGTATACATTAAATGGATAACTATTTAAATAAGGTAGACATTGCGAAACCTGAAATTAAGGAACTGTTCCACATCATTTTTTCAATAGGCCTTCAAAAACCAATCTTAAAATGCTCTCTGGTTACGAAAATGGTGTATCTATTCACCAGGAACCAATAGCACTGATAAACAATGGTTATTAATTAACATGCCATGTTTTGTAAATATATATACCTGAATTCGAAGTGCCAATACTGCTCTAATGGCATACATTAATATCAAATCTATTGAAGATTATTATGAAAAAAAAAAAGAAATTCATTTCAAAGATGAGAATACACTTTTTGGCTCTTGAAATAGAAAATCAATAAGTATTATAAATCTATCAAAAAACATGCTTCAGATATCACAGTCACAAGACTTTAATTTATCAAATTTGTGATTTTTATAAGTGACATTGACCTTTGACCTCAAAATCAATCAGCTTCTTCCCATACTCTATATCTTATATTTTACTTTTTTTGTATAAAGTTTTATTCCAATTGTGCGATAGATACTAAAAGTTATCATTCAGAAACCATTTGTTTCCAACACATGGAATGAAGGACGTAGTCAGACAGATAAGGTGAATACTATATACTCTATTTTTTGTTTTGGGGGGAGCATAAAAATGTGTAGGTGTGGGACCAAGGTATTCTTGTGTAATGAAGAAACTTTCAAATATGTGCCGTAAGAAATAATGTTCACATCAATAACAATGAGAAATATAATCAACTTTTGAAGAAAGGCAGATGACCTGTATAGATTAAAACAAAAAGCCCAAAACATTTAACTATGACAAAGTGACAAATTTTAAACCAAACAAAAGCTCAGTGGCTTTTTTCACAAAAAATCTTACATTCGTAACTTCAATTCGTAAGTTATTCTGAATTGTTCATGACATACAAGTATTTTTTCTCTTAAGATTTCTTGTGAAATGAGTCACAGAATCTTGCACAATAAAGAAACTATGAATTGGGACAGTGTGGTGGGTTGTTATTTCTATCAACTGATAAAATCAAGATCAGCTATTAACTCATTACCATGTATGGCACAACACACCTTAAACTCATTTTTTTCTAGATTCTTATAACTTGGCTTTACATTTTCAGATTTAAAACATAATCCTGACAATGAAGCACAGAAGTAAAAGCAACCTGTGCAGCATCATGTTTACTAATCATAAAAATAAAGATTTATCTCTCTTTGTTCAGTAAATGCTACTTTTTCCAAGAATATATTATTCATTTATGAATGGAATATAATTTATTATATTGATGGCTGATGGTAGATAGTCACTGATGAATTTATGCACAACTTGGCTCATGTAATTTTAGAGCTTGAAATATGGTTTGGGCACTTGTTGATCAATGAGCCCCTGTATTTCTTTTTTTTTTTGTATTGTTAGGTTATTGTCTCATAAAAAAATAAGGAGATGTGGTATAAATGCCAATGAGACAACTATCCACCAAAGTTCAAATGAAATGGATGTAAGCAATTATAGGCAACCACATGGCCTTCAACAATGAGAATAAAATGCTTCGCTGGGGCGCAGCTTGATACGACCGCAGAGGTCGAACCCTGAACAGTTGGGGCAAGTATGGACACAACATTCAAGCTTGATACAGCTCTGAATTTGGATTGTTATTAAATATTTGACACAGCATAGGTTTCTGACACAGAAAGAATGTGGTCTAAGAACTTGAATTTTTTTAATTTACCTATTATGGTCCAATGTCCAAAATCAAAATACATGGTTAGATTCAGCATATCAAAGAACCCCATATATTCAATTTTTGTTAAAATCAAACAAAGTTTAATTTTGGACCCCAACTTGGACAAACTTGAAAACTGGGCCCATAATCAAAAATCTAAACACATGTTTAGATTCAGCATATCAAAGAACCCCAAGAATTCAATTTTTGCTAAAATCAAACTAAGTTTAATTTTGGACCCTTTGGACCTTAATGTAGACCAATTTAAAAAAACGGGACTTAAAATTAAAAATCTAAATACACGGTTAGATTTGGAATATCAAAGAACCCCAATAATTCAATTTTTGATGAAATCAAACAAAGTTTAATTTTGGACCCTTTTGACCTCAATATGAACCAATTTGATAGCGGGGCCCACAAATAAAAAATCTAAATTCATGGTTAGATTCAGCATATCAAAGAACCCCATATATTCAATTTTTGTTGAAATCAAAAAAAGTTTAATTTTGGACCCCAACTTGGACCAACTTGAAAACTGGGCCCATAATCAAAAATCTAAACACATGTTTAGATTCAGCATATCAAAGAACCCCAAGAATTCAATTTTTGTTAAAATCAAACTAAGTTTAATTTTGGACCCTTTGGACCTCAATGAAGACCAATTTAAAAAACGGGACCCAAATTAAAAATCTAAAAACACGGTTAGATTTGGCATATCAAAGAACCCCAATAATTCAATTTTCGATGAAATCAAACAAAGTTTAATTTTGGACCCTTTTGACCTCAATATGAACCAATTTGATAGCGGGGCCTACAAATAAAAAATCTAAATACATAGTTAGATTCACATATCAAAGACCCTCATATATTCAATTTTTGTTGAAATCAAACAAAGTTTAATTTTGGACCCCAATTTGGACCAACTTGAAAACTGGGCCCTAATCAAAAATCTAAATACATGTTTAGATTCAGCATATCAAAGAACCCCATATATTCAATTTTTGTTGAAATCAAACAAAGTTTAAATACTGGACCCTATCTTGGACCAACTTGAAAACTGGGCCCATAATCAAAAATCTAAACACATGTTTAGATTCAGCAAATCAAAGAACCCCAAGAATTCAATTTTTGTCAAAATCAAACTAAGTTTAATTTTGGACCCTTTGGACCTCAATGTAGACCAATTTAAAAAACAGGACCCAAAATTAAAAACCTAAATACACGGTTAGATTTGGAATATCAAAGAACCCCAATAATTCAATTTTAGATGAAATCAAACAAAGTTGAATTTTGGACCCTTTTGACCTCAATATGAACCAATTAGATAACGGGGTCCACAAATAAAAAATCTAAATACATGGTTAGATTCAGCATATCAAAGAACCCCATATATTCAATTTTTGTTGAAATCAAACAAAGTTTAATTTTGGACCCCAATTTGGACCAACTTGAAAACTGGGCCAAAAATCAAAAATCTAAATACATGTTTAGATTCAGCATATCAAAGAACCTCATATATTCAATTTTTGCTAAAATCAAACAAAGTTTAATTTTGGACCCTTTGGACATTAATGTAGACCAATTTGAAAACTGGACCCAAAATTAAAAATCTAAATACACTGTTAGATTCGGCATAACAAATAAATAAATGTGATCAAAGATTTTACAAATCTAATGCGCCATACTGTGCAATTAAAGATTACTTCTTGAAATTTTTCAATATTTGAAATTTGAAAAAAAAATAATATTTGAAGAATAATTCTTTTTAATTTCTGAAATCTGAAATGAGAAAAAATTGGCCCCCCACAATTTCTTTTTATCCCCCCCCCCCCCCCCCCCCTTTTTCCCCCAAAAAAATTCTTTCCCTCAAGATATGGTCATAATCTCAATTCAAATTTCCAATGGAGTTGGCAACCATAATTACCCATTTAAATTTACCATAGTGCTAACTTAATCTATTTTATAATAGAATTAATAAAAATATGGTGTCAAATCTTTCATATGGATTTTTTTGTAAAAAAAAAAGATGAAAACATTTGCAGATATTTTTACTGGTCTTCCTTTATAAATATGCATTTCTTTAAACATAATTTAAAAGCAGTGTAAGGGAAGTAACCAAAACGTTGTATTTGGATTACCTCCCTTACACTGTTTTAGATTATCTTTATTGTTCATTAACCATTACTTTATACATAATTTAAAAGCAGTGTAAGGGAGATAATTTCAATGATGTATTTGATTTATCTCCCTTACACTGCTTTAAATTATGTTTTGTACTAAAGTATTTGTCCATTAACCAGGACAACCTTGTTTTTCCCCCTTTTTTGCCCCTAATTCCTAAACGGTTTGAGCCATAACCCCCCAAAGCAAATCCTAACCATCCCTTTGTGGTATGGAAACTTGTAGTATAATTTCAGAGAGATCCATACACCGTTCCACAGTTATTGTCTGGAAACTAGAAAATGCTCATTTTTGGCCCCTTTTTGGCCCCTAATTCCTTAACTGTTGGTACCATAACCCCCAAAATCAATCCCAACCTTCCTTTTGTGGTATTTAACCTTATGGTCAAATTTCAAAAAGATCCATTCACTTAAACTAAAGTTAGAGTGCGAAAACCAATATGTATTCGGACGACGACGACGACGCCGCCAACGTCATACCAATATACAACCACAAAATTTTTTTGCGGTCGTATAAAAACCCATACGGTATAGTCGGCTATATAAGGCCCTGCTATATGGCCTTTAATCATATTTATTCAAGTGTTGTTCCCTTGACAGATCTTTTCACTATTATTTCATTAGATTTTTGTCTCAATTACATCCCCTATATTATTTTCCTCCAATATATGATTTCTATATTGTACTAAAAATAACTTTAAAGATGGCTTTTGTTTTTATTTCACTTCTGTACAGACAAATTGTAAATTTTGGTCACTGAACATTATAACATGTTGTATCAATCATCACTCTACATTTTAACATGTTGAATCAATCATCACTCTTCCTTATAACCCCATTACTGTCTATACATTGAAATACTCCAGCTTTCATCTTCCTCTGGAAATCTTTTTCCATGTCATAAGTTCTGTAAAGGAAAACAAGTCTGTTAGTATATATCCTATAATGAATTTAATACTCTACAGATATAACTTACCAGCATGTATGCAAATGTCACTACGACGTCGTAGGAAGGCGTCACAGAAAAAAATTAAAATCGTAGGAAGGCGTCACAGAAAAAAATTAAAATAGCCTTGCAAGACGTCATAATTATTTGGACTAAGTAAACAGGTAAACATAAGGTTGTCTGTAATTGCTTACATCCACTTCATTTGAACTATGGTGGATAGTTGTCTCATTGGCATTCATACCACATCTCCTTAATTTTATATTTATAAAGCAGATTTTTATTGGGTCAAGAAGCTTATATTCTATATTCATTTACTGTAACATTCTTCTAGATTGGTACCAAAAATGCAATATATCATTTGTGTAATTACAATTGAAAGTGATGATGTTAACAATAACAGTAGTGAAACTGTGTGTGCCATTCCCTATAATTTTAAATGTCTTGCAAAACAATAAAAGGGTTATTGCAAGAATATACCGGTAGTAAATACTATATCTTGCAGAATATGAAATTGCACATGAATTGAAAGATGGTGCGAAATGATATTTCACTCAAGACAATGTTCATCAATATTAGTGAAATAATCCAAATATATATGAATATGCTGGCAAATTAGATTGACTGAGATTTTTCAATGTTTTAGGAATCTTAAAGTGATGAAGCGGTCAAACTTGTTGATACTAAGAACTCCCAGTCTAACTGATACTATTTGGTCTAATCTTTTCAATCCCAGCATTTTCTTAACACAAACAAACCTACCTCTATATAGAAATCAAGTCTTCTACAAACAACAAAGGAGTATAAAGTTTATTTAGTTACATTGTAGTAGATATTAAAAGCAATAGCAAACATAGTTATGCAGTAGCTGGCAGTATTGTCAGTGACTATATACACTTGTGAAAATGGTGGACAAGGTCAATGGACAAATTGCTTCAATCTCTAAAATATCATTTCCAGAGTTAACATGAAATATTTACCACTGGACATAAGCAAATAAAAAACAACTAATAAATTCATTTAGTTGCTTAAAGTGTATTTGCATTGTTAGTTCTGACATATTTCTTTGAATCTTTCCATCTTTGCAAACTCTGACTAAATATACTTTTGGAATGCTATTTCAGACACTTACTTCTCAAATGCTGTCCATCTGGAAGTGAAAAAATATTCTTCCCATGCTTTATATAAACCAACTGCTGCAACAGTAAGAACAGCTCCAACTTTCATGTGGTAAGCATAAGACTTTACCCATAATCCTTTCATTACTGGTTTGGGAAGTTTGGTTGCCATCTGTAAAGCAAACAACAAAATCTAACACAAGGTATCAGTAAAATTGCACACATACTGAACTGCTATTTATGGTCCAAGATGTATTTTACAATTGTACGTGTATACTTCTTTAAAATAATGTTTTTGGTCAAATTTGTGACATAGGTCATATCTTCTCCATAACTTATTGCCTCTTATGAAAAAACAAAGATTTATACATTGGATTAACCTGGCCACCTTTATCATTAAAATTAAAAGTAAATTTCAAAACTGAAACTCGTGTAATGTACTGTACAGACAAAATTCATTAAAATGGATATACATATTAGTAGTGATGTTCTGATTTATTTCCATAATAATTGATATTTATTGATCAATTATTTAATTTTTTTGAATAGTGATAATCAATAATAATATTTCATAATTGAAAAAAGTAAAATATAATTATAAAATGTTTATATTTTTAATTTATTGAAACCTTTCAACACCTCCAGGAAAGTATAAGGAATGGCTTATAACACCCATAAAATATTCATTTTATACATATATATGTTCTCACTTTTTTGGGGGTACTCTGCATTCATTCATCTGTATTTTTGGTTAATTATACTTCAATACTGTAAATGACATGCAAAAGTAATACAAAAAGAAAAGTATGTTTTTTTTTAATTTTTACACCATCATATTTAGCATACGAGTTAAAAACTGATTATAACCTATTTAATTGGAGCATGCTGTCTGATTATTCATATTAATCAATTATAATTTTTTCAGCTGATTCCAAACACCATAAAGTCCACAATTTAGTAAGTATATATATGGGTGCCTAAGAACAAGATATAACACTGCATTTATTCTGTCAGAAAATTTGCTACAATACCATATATAACAACCGCCAACAGAAAGAAAAAGTTGTCTGTTTTCGTTTGGCAGATCTGTATGTCCTAACTTATATGATTAAATGGAAATATGATGAACAATATATGCTAGTGGTGAGCAAATGTACAATATTTAAATTCTCAATCTTTCCTGACTTGTGGAAAATAATAAAAGAAGGGAAGCACCTATGAACTACTGTTATAGTTAGATCAAATAGATAAGAGTAAGAAAAAATTTAAATACCTGGAAAAAAATCATAAAAAGGAGTATCCATGCCCCAAAGCAGTGTGGTTTGGGCTTCTGTTAGGAATTGTTAAAAGTTAGGTTTAAGATGATTGTTAGTTTAGGTTTATATGGGTTTTGATAGATTTGACCCTTAAAGAAAATGAATACCTGGCAGGCTAGCATTTCAAAGGAAGCTTTGTTTCAAAATATTAACCCCATCCAAGGATTTGTCATAGTGATAGAAGATGAACACTCATCAATAGATGTACATGTGGAATCAAGCTTCCTAATAGACATGGTACTGGGACCAATATTATTTGTATGCCATATAAATGATCTTCCAGACTGTGTCCAATCTCAAGTTATTTGCAGATGATAGCTTGCTGTAATGACAAATAAAGTCCCCAAAAGACGATCAAATTTTACCAGAAGACCTAGCAAAACTAGAAATCTTGGCAAACCAATGTGGCATGAAATTCAATGCTAAGAAATGTTATATAAGAAGTATAAAACAAAAGTCGAGCCAAATCTACCAACTGGAAAAACATATTTTGGAACAAGTAAAAAGGAACCCCTACTTTGGACTAAACTTCTCAGTACTACTGTCAGTAGACATGGTTGATCTATAATGGGAGCAGTTACATTGATAATATAACCAGTAAAGCAAAATGTACCCTGGGTTTCATCAGACATGTCAGAAGAAACATTCGTTAATGCCCCTAAAGTGTGCAAAGAACTAACATATATAATGTCAAACCATTGAGGAGCAATGAGAGACTGATTAAAGCAAAACATTGTGCGACTACAGTACATAAGCTCAAACATTTTAGAAAAACTAGAAACAAAAAAACACAAAGGCTTATCAAACTATCCAGTGCCACACACTTGTTCTTTGCAAGAACAATAATCGATTGGAACCACCTGGAAGATAGCACTTCGTGCATCAAGACAGTAGTGGGCTTTATTGATCCCCTCCAACACTGTTAACTGTTTTAAGTCACGCTGCTCTACTTTCAGTGCAAAGAAAACCGTGAACGGTTCCTGAACTTTTCAACAATACAGATTTGACCCAAAACGTGTTTAAATTGAGATTTATTATGGATTACAAAAATGAGACAAAGTTATTGTAAGCGTATGCATAAACAAGCCAAGTGCCATGAATCAAGGCATGAACACTACGACAATGTCATGAAATTGTGGGATATTTAAAAACCGTCTCTCCAGATTCCTACTTTCTCTTTAAAAATGTCGCTACTAATCGTCTAACGTATTATCTGTGTGCATCTACTTAATTCAATTAGTTGAGAAACCAGTAAGTACCTTTTTCAAATGAAAAATATATAATTTGCTGAATGACCTTCTAAAATTTTAAGGGGAAGTTACTCACTATTTTCCGGTGAAGTGTTGATTAAATGGGTGCAAGACAACTCGGCCCGAAGTCAACTCGGACCTTCTACAAAAAAGACAATTCGGACCGTATATGAAGAAAACTCGGACTGGCAATAAGTCAACTCGGACCGTGCAAAATAAAGAGAAAAAATATATTTTTCTTGATTTGTTGATATACAATACATCCAAAACTTTTTTCTTTTACGAAATTACCCTTGAGGTGTTCCTGTCCATAGGAAGTTCAGACAAAGAAGAAGAAGAGTGACGAGTCTGTATGTCCGATAAAAGTTCACTACAGCTTATGTTATGTGCTTGTTTTGTATTATTAATATCATTATTTAGTTGTTTATTCATTTATTTTCCTATATAATACAGTCTGTTTTACTATTGACAGGACCAACGCTTGGCTATTCGAAACAATTGATATGTCACAGGATAATACGATGATAAAAGAAAATTGAGATTCATGGGTTGGATGTTTGGACAAAATATTTTCAAACTTAACTTGACTTGGAATTTCTAATCGAAAATCAAGAAAAGCTCAATATCAATCATATTATAAATAAAGTAATAAATTTAATCGACGTTCTAATTTTTTGCCAGAGATTTTCCGCAAACACCACATTCACCATTTATGCGACCAACACTATAAATCTCGTATGGCTCTTTATAAACACATTTTCTTTTGTTTGATTTTTTGGATACATTTTAGACATACTATAGCCCCATATTTTATCTGCTTATTTAATTATACAATTTATGCCCCAAGACATTGACTTATTATTATCTGTGTTTTTGCAACTAGTATATGCTTGCATTTAAAAGCACTGCCCTTCCGAAGTATCATACAAAGTTCTGTTGCTACGCCTGTCTTGTTTGCTCTTCTTTCACGAAAGCACCAGGTAAACTCACTGCCATCATCATGTCTACCACTTGTATACTCTCCTTTTTCACCAAACTGTTTGCCTTAAGTTTCCAAGACGGCTACAGCGAGTTCTTAAGTGTTTCTTTGCACATTTCCTTCGCTGTTCCCTATGCAGACCTAAAAACCGATTTTCTAACACACCAAGCAAGTCATTTAATTCAGAAATTCTCGCCTAACTTCAGTAAGTCTCTGTCATACACATTTTTTATTTCAAGTTTAATCGTTACATTTCTAACATCATAAATGTAAATAGATTGTCTACCTTGTTCAGCTTTGTGATTCTACGATTTTCATCGGTCACATTTATATGAATTGAATCGATTATTAACCTGATTACCTCCGAATGTCGAGCGTTCGGGTGTCTACGTTCAAAAGTGTAGCTACGTGATAAGTTTGCTGTTCGGAGTATATTTAAAATCACCTTTCCGTATTTCCTGCCAAGAATCGAGGATCAAGTTACAGTGAATATGATATTCGTCGTCTTTGCTCTGGCTCTGTGATTGATTTAATCTCGAACCAAGTAAAGTAAGCACAGTTTTCTTCTTTCAAAACAAGTCGTACATTGTCAGATAACGTGATTTACACTTTCAATATTCAAGTCAAATTCAAACCTGTATTGGAAAAGGGTTTTAAAAACAGCCAATCATAAGCATACCAAAACTCCTCAATATACTTGTAAGTGTATTGGTGGCTATAACTACGATTCGAGAATGTGATATTTTGAACTTCCCTCCAGAATCAAGAATCCTTGTTGTTTGGTTTAAAAATGAACCTTTTTTCTTGGGTTTTTATTTGTAATTTCACAGCAGGCACTCATATTACACTCCATATATCATGCTTTCGTTATATGTTCTGGAAACTTAATTTGTTATGTTTCCTTTCTTTCTTCAACACAATTATTTTTCTTTTTAAAAAAGGTTATCTAGTAGATTCAAAGAAACTCATTGATTTTTTTAATAAAATCATTTTCAAAGGTTATCAATGTTGTAGTAAGATCTTTGATTTTTGTCTTTATCGGTGCTAGCATTGATTTTATCTTTATCGGTAGCATTGATTTTATCTTTATAAATTGAATATATAACTTAACATGTAGCGCTATCTAGTTATTAAAACCCTATCGATACTTTGGCACAGCACAAGGAAATTCTTTTCTCATATTGTTTATAACGTCTTCACACTAAATCTATTGGTTGTGTGCTGATTGTCATTTTAGTCTGCGAGACCATGGTTTATTTACTAGTTTGGCTTTGAACTAGCTGTGTTCTTTTTGTTCTGTTGGTTATTTTATTGTGCTTACGATCGATCTGATAAGTCAAGCCCCATCAGACTTATTTTCCATTTTTGTTCTTATGTTGTGTTGTTACACCACTGTCACAAGTAAGGAGTAGCACCGAGAGCTCATAAATATGTTAAACTCCGTCACATTTTGTGTATGCCTGTTCCAAGACAGGAACCTGTAATCCAGAGGTTGTCATTGGTTGGTGTCTGTCATAACTGTGTTTCGATTATTGCTATACTGTAAATCAGGCCGTTGGATTTCTCTTTTAAACTGTTTCACATTTTGTCATGCATGGCCTTTTATAGCTTACTATACGTACATGTTTTGCTCATTGTTGAAGGACATACGGTGACTTGTAATTTTTCACATCTTTGTTCTTGGGTCGTTATTAATAGTTTTCTATTTGGCAATTAAACCATATCTCCATGCTGAATATGCATGAAATATTTGCCACTGGACGTAAAGCATACAACAATCAACTAATCTAAAACTTATTTGGACGTTTCTTTTTGAAACTTTTTTTGATAATGCTCTTCAACTTCGTCATTGATTTGACCTTTCGATTGTTTTGATTTGAGTGCCACTGATGAGTATTATGTAAACAAACAATAGTCTAGATTGCTTAATTTGAGGTCTGGTATCCTTGGTGAGGTTTTACAACCACTGGATCGATTCCACTGATGGTTGATGTTTCGTCATAAGGAATTTCACCAGCCCAGTAGCCAACACCTCTTTGATGACATGAAATATCATTGATACAATAACGTTCTGCAAATAATCTGTTGATAAAATGTTAAAATCATTTGAAAAAGTAAGGATTTTCTACATCCAGTCATATAGAGATTTTGTCAGATTTGGCAAAACTTTTTTGAACTTTTAGTTTTAATGCTCTTTGACTTTGTAATTGATTTAGCCTTCCAATAGTATGATGCGAGTGCCACATGTCCCATGTAGACCAAATGCGTGTCATGTAAACTTAATGCATGTCATGAAGACTAAATGCGTCCCATTTAGACTAAATGCGTGTCATGTAGACTAAATGCGTCCCATGAAGACTAATGCGTGTCAGGCATGCATATAAATTTATAAATTTGTCTCAGTATGATAATGGTTGTGTGAATCTGATGGGGGATGTAAATTGTCTCAGTATGATAATGGTTGTGTGAATCTGATGGGGGATGTATATTGTCCAAGTATGATAATGGTTGTGTGAATCTGATGGGGGATGTAAATTGTCTAAGTATGATAATGGTTGTGTGAATCTGATGGGGGATGTAAATTGTCTCAGTATGATAATGGTTGTGTAAATCTGATGGGGGATGTAAATTGTCTCAGTATGATAATGGTTGTGTGAATCTGATGGGGGATGTAAATTGTCTCAGTATGATAATGGTTGTGTGAATCTGATGGGGGATGTAAATTGTCTCAGTATGATAATGGTTGTGTGAATCTGATGGGGGGATGTAAATTGTCTCAGTATGATAATGGTTGTGTGAATCTGAAGGCGGATGTAAATTGTCTCAGTATGATAATGGTTGTGTGAATCTGATGGGGGATGTAAACTGATATATTCGATGAGTTTGTTTTCAATATAATTTTCATTATCCCAATAATTAATTTCAATTATAGTCTCAGAAGATAATGAGACAACACTCAACAAGAGACCAAAATGACATAGAAGTTAACAACTATAGGTCACCGCACGGCCTTCAACAATGAGCAAAACCAAATCCGAATAATCAGCTATAAAAGGCCCCGAAATGACAAATGTAAAACAATTCAAGGAGAAAACTAACGGCATGATTTATGTACAAAATAATGAACGAAACACAAATATGATATACAGCAACAAACGACAACCACTGAATTACAGGCTCCTATATAGTTCATTTCATTCTTTTCAGCTTTTAAGTATTTTCCTGTCCCTTTTCTCCCACTAGCTAATTCACGTATGTGGTTGTCGAGATCAAGTACTAGTATACAATACTAAATTTTGTTTGGAGGGTCTAGTAGATTGTTTCGACTAAACATTTCTCTGAAGTTGGCAATGTCGAATATCTCAACTGATTCAGTGATGTCCAAATTGACGAGTGATATCAACACAACGTTTTTAAAGCCTTCGTTCTTATACTTGTTGCATAGAATCTGAACCGGTCCATCTATAGTCCGCTGCCGAACAAACCAATGACTAACATATCAAAGAAACCAACTGTTTCTGTATCCTTCTGATTCTGAAACAATATCCGGCGTTGGAGTTTATTACTTGTCACATTCTCCCTTTTTGTATTTTTATCAAATGGTCAACGAATGTTTTGGAGTGAATAATTTTTTAATATTGTTGCTTATAATATGCGCCATCACACCACTATCGAATGGGTTCTTCAAATCCCATTAGCAAGCACCCTTGCAGCTTCGATACCAAGAGAGGGAAGAAGTTTCGATACAAAAGATTTGAAGATAGTAATAATAAATTTTGCCATCACTCTGATTCTGAGCACGGACTTATTTTTGTGAGCTGCTTTTGTTTCTTTGTTATGACAAGGTTTACTTTTGTTTGTTTCCCGTCCGTAATATCAAGACTATGGTTAATACATTTTCTCTTTTCTTATTGTTGATATATTCTAAATTACTACCTTTGTCACTTCCAATCGCGCAGAGGATTATACACTCACCCCTCATTTATAATTATAGGAAAGATTTGATAATTTATTGGGTGCCAAATTTTATCTGTTATCTTATGTCATTGAGGTCATCCTCGCGCTCGGAGGATTAATCAAAAAGGGCCAGTCCATAAATTCTCGAAATTGGACAGGT